ACTTTGAACCCCACTTTAACGGCAAATTCCAAGTAATCGCCTTTAGGAGAAACAAGGACAATTCCTAAACCTGCCCCACTTTGTGCCACTGATCCATCCACAAACAGCTGCCATACTCCCTCTATTTCCCCCTCGACTTTCGTGCCTTCCTGGATAAAATCAGCCAACACCTGCGCCTTTATGGCCCTCCTTGGTTTATACAATAAAGAATATTCACTCAACTCGACCGCCCATTTCACCAATCGACCGGAGACCGATGGTCGGCCAAGTGTTTCTCCCAGCGGCATGTTTGTTTGCACCTTCACCTTATGATTCAAGAAATATGGTCTCAACTTTCGAGCGGTCACGACCACAGCCAAAGCGCACTTCTCGATCTCTGAATACCTCATTTCCGCCCCTTGCATCACCCTGCTCACGTAATAGATAGGAAATTGCGTTACTCCTTCCTCCCGTAACAATACCGAGCTTACCGCCCTGTCTCCTATAGAAATGTATAGTACCAGCTCCTCGCCCTGCACAGGTTTAGCCAATAGGGGAAGGTTGGCTAACACCCTTCGCAGCTTCTCAAAGGCCCCCTGCGCCTCCTCCGTCCATTGGAATTTTTCACTCTTCTTCAATGTTTTAAATAATGGACCACTCTTCTCCACCACCTTCGATATAAAACGGCTCAGCCCCGCAATCCGACCAGCTAAGATCTGTACTTCTTTAACATTCGTCGGCTGCTTCATCTCCATTACAGCTCGAACCTTCTCCAGATTCACCTCAATACCTCTCTTGGTCACCAAGTAGCCCAAGAACTTCCTCGATCTCACCCCAAAAAAGCACTTAGCAGGATTCAATTTCATCCCATATCTCCGCAATGTTAGGAATGTTTCTCTCAAGTCTCGCACATGATCCAACTCCTCCTTGCTTTTCACCAACATATCGTCCACATATACCTCCATGTTCCTCCTCAGTTGCTCCTTGAAAATTTTATCGACCAACCTTTGATATGTGGCACCCGCATTCTTTAGACCGAACGGCATGACCACGTAATAATAGGTCCCCCGATTTGTTACAAAACTCACACGCTTCCTGTCTTCTCTCGCCAAGGGGATTTGATGATATCCCTGGGAGGCATCCATCAGGCTCAACAATTCGCACCCTGCCGTTGAGTCGACCAGCTGGTCGATTCTGGGTAGCGGGTATAGATCATT